TCACCAGCCTCGTTGCCCTTCTCTGGACACGCTCCAGCAACTCAATGTCTTTCTTGTAGTGAGGGGCCCAAAACTGAACACAGTATTCGAGGTGCGGCCTCACCAGTGCCGAGTACAGGGGCACGATCACTTCCCTACTCCTGCTGGCCACACTATTTCTGATACAGGCCAGGATGCCATTGGCCTTCTTGGCCGCCTGGGCACACTGCCGGCTCCTGTTCAGCCGGCTGTCAACCAGCACCCCCAGGTCCTTTTCCTCGAAGAAGAAAATACGGATCTCTGAGCTGTCCCACAGATAAGATTTCGTGACCTGCTATCATTATCCAGTAGTAGTGTCGGTGTGCATTTTTCCACTAAAATCTGAAATTGGATCCTATGTTGTTGTAAAACATGTAGGAGCACTCAGAATGTTCCTGCCTCTTGTCCTTTTGATGAGGAGCACAGGAAATTTCAGGGCACAGATAGAATGTCTTAGGTATATTGCTGTGCCCCAGAAGTTTGAACCTCAAGAGCACGGGACATGTAAGACATTATTGGAATATAGACAAATCTTGGAAGAAGTAAAAATGCAGAAAGGCTGGACTGGGTAGGTTCTACTACAATGATTTTTTTATTTTGGCTAATGTGTTTTTCTTCTACATTCTTTAGGGTTTTATGCTTTTATTTTGACTGCTGCAGCTATCGGAGCTTTATTATACTTTCAGTTTGAACTTCATTATTTGTATGATCACTTCATGCAGTTTGCAGTGTCAGCTGCAGCTTTTTCTATGGTGTTGAGCATTTATCTGTATATTCGGTCCCTGAAAGCACCTGAGGAAGAACTAGCACCAGGTGGAAATTCTGGTGAGTTATAAGTATTTTGGATAATTTCTTTCCAATTATTTGCTACAGTTTCATTTTTATGAATTAAAGGCTAGATTTAGGGCTGGTTGTTATAATACTGTGACTTTTACTTTCTAGCAATGTAAAATTCATGTTGCAAGTTAAATGGCAATTTTTTTGTTCACACTCAGATACTGTAAAATGCTTAAAATTTTAGTTGGATTATCTTGCATAGTTTATGTAAAAATGTCTTGGCTGGTCTAGTCCGCTAGCGATGAGAGGACAGTTCCTTCCTTTCCGTTTTCAGCATTTGTCTGAGAGGCTTGTCTAGTTTGCTTCATAGTGCCCCTGCTGGTGGGCCTTTTCCTGAAACAGCTGGGAATGGAAAGAAAAACTGAAAAATCTAGACATTTTGGCAGTGGGAAGTCAGGTACAGAACTTGAAATTGCACTGTATTTCTAAACTTTTATTTTGCTGCGCACTTTTAAATCTAGTTAGCTGAATTGAGTTTTCAAAAGAAATTTTGATTCAGTCATGAGACTGCCTACCTGGAAAGTATCAATTATATGCCTGTGTTTTTGTAGGACAAAGGATAGACTGAGAAGTCGATTAGCATTGAATATTAAACAAACTGCTTTTAAAAATGATGATAGGGTGACTAAGAAAGGGAGTTTATGGACAGAACATTTAGTGTATTAAAATGAAGTATTCAAATATCCTCAGTTCCTTTGTCAGTGCAGCATATATGTGTCTGAAGGGAAAAAATAAATGATGATAAATTGTTTTTTCTTTGAAAAGTGCAGTTCTAGTCTCTGTAAGGGGCATAGTAGCATTCTGTAACTGTTCTGCAAAGTGCTTGTTATTTGCTAACTCAGTGCAGGTTATCTTGAAGTCAAGGTATTGTATTTTCCTTGTTGTCCATCTCTCTTGATGGGCAGGTAATTGACATAGCTAAAGGAATTCTTGCTCCCAGAGAAAAGCAATGAAGTAGGAGGAACAGTAGAATTAATTAATACCGTAAGATCGTGTTCATGGAAACTGTGATGTGAGCTTCAGGGTAAGGCTGAAAATAAAGAAGGAACAAGTGTCAAGGAGAACTAAGCCTACAATAACTTCTAAAGTGTTTAGTCCTCCTAATAAATAAAATATTTGCGCCTCTTAAAATATAAACCATGTGGGTTTTGCTTTGTATTTTGCATATACTCTCACATTTTTATTGCCAATCTAAAGGCTTTTTTTTTTTTTATAATGAGAGAACTTTAGTAGAAAGTAGGAACTGCTTTATGGGGAGGAGTGTAGTGGCAGATAAAAAGGAAGAGTATTGCTAACAAAGACCGTGTCTTATCTGCAGGGTATTTTGTTTATGATTTTTTTACTGGACATGAATTAAACCCTCGTATTGGCAGTTTTGACCTCAAATACTTCTGTGAGTTGCGTCCAGGATTAATTGGCTGGGTGAGTCAGTAATCTTAGTTATTCTATTTGCTTAAATATTACCTAAATGGATTTTTTTTATATATATATATTAAAAAATGGTATTAAGGTTATGTATTTATAAACAGGATAAAAGTACTTACAAACAGTTTCATGTTGCCACATTTTTAATGACCATTTCTATTCACTTTAAAAAAATTTCTACATTCTAACTTCTTTGCTTTGTGGGAAATGAAAACCCTTCTTAAAGTATTCATATGTTGAGGTTATACAGCTTCAGAAATGTAGTTAGTTGCAATCTGTGGCTTGTGAAATAGGTTATTATTCTTTTAAACTTAAACGTTGGTCAAAAACATCTGAATGAAAATGTCCTACAGTGTAATAGAAAAGATCACTTTCTTTTACAAGGAAAATTTGTAATAATATATTTTCTAAACTAGGTTGTCATAAACTTGGCAATGCTCTTCGCCGAGATGAAGATACACAATCAAAGTATGCCGTCTCTGTCAATGATACTTGTGAACAGCTTTCAGCTTCTGTATGTGGTGGATGCTCTTTGGAATGAGGTAGACGACATCATATTAAACTGTTACCATTTCTAATTACAATGTTAAATGAACGAAGCTTTGTAAATTCTAAATGCCTTCCTCCTTGTTTCTAGGAAGCTATTTTGACTACAATGGATATTACCCATGATGGATTTGGATTCATGCTAGCATTCGGAGATTTGGTGTGGGTTCCGTTTGTCTACAGTCTGCAGGCCTTCTATTTAGTTGGTCATCCTACTGCAATTTCTTGGCCTGTTGCTGCTGCAATTACTATTCTGAACTGTAAGTTATAGTAAATGTTATTGTTACTGGTAGTAACAATGTAGTACTGATTTTGTTTCTTTGAGGTGTGAGGTGAAGCTCTTGCTAAGATGCAGGGATTGTGTTTTCTGTATTACCATAGCTGATGGAAGCATGTGTCTGGCTACTGTCCAATACAAAGAATATAATAAATGCTCATTTTATTAAATGAAGGATAAATGAGACTCTGGACACCTAATTGTTCTGTTGAGAGGGATCTTTAGATGGATGCTGTCTGGAGTTGCGGAAGTGACTTAAAACATGTTGAATGAAGTGTAGCAGATGCCTTTTAAAGTCAGTCTGAGTGACTGTGAGTGACTCATAAAAAAGAAGTCAATAGCTTGTTGGCTATGCTTTACTGAACCTAGGGAAAAAGAGGTTTTGTTGTTTAACAATTTGCGTCTCCTTCCCTGATGCTCACAGTTACAAACTCATGTCAATGGAAAACATCTCATTTTTTCTAGCAGAGTGCTTTGCGGAAGGATCTTGCATCTTTAGGGGACCTTAAATTTGCACCAATATGGCCTTGTCGTTTGTCCCTTTGATCTAAATAGTGAACCTAAAAGAAAAAGTTTTTTGTAGACATGACAAAGAATTTAAATACTTGGAAAGAATATGAAGGCGTACAACTTAGTATGTGCAATCCTGAGAAATACAACATCTTTTTTTCATTTTCAGTTAAGATTTTTTCTTTTTTTTTTTTTTTTTTTTAATCACCTTTATTTCAAGTATGTTGTAATCATGTTTTTTCAATACAGCCTCGGAAAAAGAAAATTTAAGCTGCCTTGTGAAAATGATGGGGGAAGTGAATTTCAAAACGAGATAATACTTCATTGTCTGGTTCTTTTAATATTGTGAACTTGTAAATAGTTGGTCAGTTTATGGAGTAGGCACTGTAGCAAAATACTGGGCTGCTAATAGAGCTGTAATCTTATAAACTGCAGCACATCACCTTACATGAATTTCAAACTCAATGTTACATTAATAAACTATAAGTCAGATATAAATGTAAAAGCAGATGTGAAAATAAAGCTTCTCCAAAATCTTAGAAGTTAGTCAGTAATGTGTAAGAGCATATGGAATGCAGGTTTCCAATAGCATTTCTGTCTTGTTAGAGCTCTGAGAACCCGAGAATATCAATTACATCTCTGAGGAAAAGACTTCAATGTAGTAAGAGTGGCAGAGAGCATGAGTGCTTTTGTTGAAGGAAAGAAAAGTAGAAAATACTGAAAATGCAAAATAAATAATATTTATTTTCAGGTATTGGGTATTACGTATTCCGTAGTGCAAATTCTCAGAAAAATAATTTCCGAAGGAATCCGGCAGATCCCAGATTGGCCTGTAAGTGCATTTTTTATTTGTTCAATTGCTATACAATGTCTCTTTGTACTGTTTAAATACACATTTCAGTTGTTGTATTGACTATAGTACTCTATTCACAGATCTGAAATTTATACCCACTGCAACTGGAAAAGGGCTTCTTGTCACGGGTTGGTGGGGTTTTGTTCGTCACCCTAATTATCTTGGTGACATCATCATGGCTCTAGCGTGGTCCCTACCCTGTGGTGAGTTCCTGAAACTAAAGTGGATTTTATCAAAAATGCTTGTATGTTTTGGCATCTGACTGGGTTTGAAATGCAAAGTGGTAATTATTTGAGGTACTAAAACCTGTAATTAATCGAAGGGCAAATTTCTGTGTTGTAAGCTTAATGCAGCACCTATTTTCTCTTACATCTTATCCTTTGTATCTAACTGTAGATTTGACTCTTCTTTCAGACACTTTTATCATTCAGTAACGATGGGGCTTGCTTACTAATAAGTTGTTCCTATAGTGTTTTCAAAGGGAGTTCCCAAAAAGTGGGAGTTTCTTGGAGACAAGGGCTACCACGTACAGAGATGGACTTTAAGCAAAATACATTATTTTAAAAAAAAAAAAAGTCATCAAAGGCATGGAATTCTGTTTCAAAGTTTTTGTTAATGAATTCTTCCTAGTTTTCATGAAGTTTACACTTGGAGGAAATTAGGAAGCCTTTTATCCAGTGGGGTTTTGTAGTCCTGATTCTTTGCAAGAGCTTAGAAAGAGCAGTGAGTTTCAGAAAATACATCTGATCATGGTAGTCCTGCCCCCTCTCATTCAAGTCTGAAAAATGGCTCTGGGCTCCTCTCTTGCCTGAAACAGTTTCTCTTCTATAAAAGCACAGAAATGAGCGTGACAGATGTTCTGCTGAGGCAGAGCTACCCCGCACCCCATGGCACAGTCTGGCGTTTGCAGACTGTGGGACACAGGGAGTTTTGGTAGAGTGGGACTTTGTCACCAAGTGCTTAATGCCCTGATCAGGAGCATCAGCTGAGAGAGGATGCTGGAGTTCGGGTGTTCCTCCAGGGGTTAATTTTATTTTGGATTTTAATTGAAAGTAGACAATGCTAGATTAGCGTATACACTTGTAGGCAGTATCCTGGAAGAGGCTTCCCCCCATGAAACTGAGGGACTCGAATCCTCTGTCAGCATCGTAATGGCAGAAGTGGAAGTGTTGCTGTAACTGTGGAGGGGGTGAGGATGGGTGGGAGGGGATCATAGAATAGTTTAGGTTGGAAGGGACCTTTAAAGGTCATCTAGTCCAACCATCCTGTAATGACCAGGGACTTCTTCAGCTAGATCAGGTTGCTCAGAGCCCCGTCCAACCTGACCTTGAATGTTTCCAGGGATGGGGCATCCACCACCTCTCTGGGCAACCTGTGCCAGTGTTTCACCACCCTCAGCGTAAAAAAATTTCTTCCTTGTATTTAGTCTGAATCTACCCTCTTTTAAGTTTAAAACCATTACCCCTTGTCCTATCGCTACGGGCCCTATTAAAAAAGTCTTTCTTCATCTTTCTTACAAGCCCCCTTTAAGTA